AAGATGAGCTGTATTATTGAAATTTTACTGAGGTAATAGACTCTATTATTAAGGAAATGCCAGCTAAATTATCATAATAATTTTATATGTTTTTTTAACCTATTATCACATTAAAAACATAAAATTTCAAAAACTACTATTTAATAAAGTTCATGCCCTTTTTAGTCATTTTACAACTAAACTAACTTTTTTATTCATCATCCAAACAACTTTCAACTTTTTTAACTGACTTTTTAAAAGCACCTATCCAAACATACTCTAACTAACTTTTACTTTAACTTCAGTTACAAAAGTCAGTTGAGCTAGAAGTCAGTTTTACGTAACGCCAATCCAAACATACCCTTAGTCAAAGATTATGTCAAATTTTCCTGCTTCTGAGCACGTCACAGTGCGACAAGCTATTTTTATCAACATTCAATGCCCTGTGAAAATTAACTTAGCGAAGCTACCCTTTTATTGTCTCCTTTTTTTCATCTGTTCACCCCGTAATTTTAATATTTTACCGTGGCAGCTAGCAACTATTTTATTTGTTGAATAATAAATTATTGATAATGTTAATATTCCATAATTTTTACACCAAAAAAGATGTTGATAAAGGAGAACATTAGGACTTAGGAGGCATTAATTGTGGCTGCTAGAAGATTTTCCCATTTTCTATTATTGTTTTTTCATGTTTCTTTTAAAATTTTCATATTATGTAAGCACAATACGTATATAGTACTCCTCCGGTCCAAATTATAAGACCCAATTGACTTATTTGAGGAGATTAAGGAAGTAAGTTAAGTTGGTTATTTATAATAAATAAGTATTGTCATTCCTAAAATATCCTTACTAATTAAGTATATTGGCTAAAACTATCATTATTAGAAGGATTATCTTGGAAAAAAATGCATAAATATAAGAGACAAAATGGATTAGGGTCTTATAATTAGGACCAAATAAAAAGTCAAATGGGGTCTTATAATAAGGACCGGAAGAGTAATATATATGTGTATTCTGGGAAAAATATGTATTATTTAATAAATACAATATATATTCTAGCGCAAAAAGAGAAGAAATACATATGCTTATCTAATAAAATTCATGCTATTTTTAATCATTTTACAATTAAACTTACTTTTATAACAATAATGCAAATAATTTCTATTTTTACAACAACAACAATAACAAATCTTGTCCCATTAAGTGGGATCAGCTACATAAATCACACTACGCCATTATGTTATATCAACAACTCAGTTCAAACTGTTAACAATAATTTCTATTTTTACAAATTGACTTTTTTTATTACAAAAATCAATACAAACGTAACTTACATTACACTATCTGACTTTTATTTATATTGGAAAAAAATTACTTCTATCACTACTAATCCAAACACGCCCTTATGTTTTCATCCTCAGGGACGAAAAACATGATTTCTATTGCAATTTACGAACTCAGTAACCTTGGAAGCTCTTGGTTTTTGTTCTCTCTCGTGATTACTGATTTATATATTTTTTATGAGCAACATCATTCAACATGTAATACCTTTTAGACATCCTTTGAAAATGCCTTTGTAAATATGTATGATCGAGAAAATGGCAACAATACATGAACAAAAGACAAAATATGATTTACAATTCATGCAACATCATTTTATGACACCCATGTTATCATAAGAGGGCAATCGAACCCATACCATTTCAGCATTTCATTTGAGTAGAACTTGGAATGCTAGAAATAGACAATTTCAAGTCACAATACAAAAGTTCACATATGCGCACACTTAAACCAAGACAAGAGTAAAAAGCAAAACACGAGTAACACTACATGAACAGGAGACAAAACACGGTCCACAATACATGCAACATAATTTTACGACGCTTATGTCTTCTATTTTCCTTAAGAAATGCTAGCTATTCCGTTATCTGTTACTTTTGCTCAGATCCATTGCAATACATGTTAGATTTGCATGTGGATTTCAGCATTATTGTGGGTTCTTTTTGAACACTCCATTTGTAAGTACCTAATAACAATTTTACATAGACAAGTAAAATTAGATAAATTAATTATTTTTGGAAAATATTAAAATCACCCTCAAGTTTACATAAACAAAAACATATTACTCCTCCGATTCTAAATATAAGATTCATTTTATAGTGTAAATTCTACTAAAAAATATATCTTATATTTAGGACTGAAAGGAGTATTACATTACGAAACATTGTAAATATCTTTATTACGAGGACTGAAGGGAGTATGTTTTGTTTTGGACAGTGATCCACATGACTAGTCATATTAGAGCCGGAAAAACGAGTTGAACCCATTTAAACCCGCCATCAATTTTTTTAAAAATTTTTATTTTTTTTACACATAACACACTCTTAGTTTCACTTACTCTATCAGTTACACAGACAGCATTCACAAAAAAAAAAAATCACTATAGTTGTTAGAAAAATAACCAAAAAAAGTGAAAATTAGAAAATTTAAAACTAGGTATATTCACAAAAATGTATTATTATTTATACATTGTTAAAACCTGTTAAAATATTGTATGCGTAGTTGTTATGATCTTTATTTGTCATTCTCCCATATTTTTATGCTTGAAATAGAATTAAGGGAAATGACAAATAAAGATCCCAATATGTGAAATTACGATTTGTGACCCTCGATTTGAAAAATGACAAATAAAAACCTGGTCTTATATTGCAAATATGAAATCTTAATAAAATGTTTGAAATGCCTCTCAACCAAATGACAAGTTGACTATAAGAAATAACAAATTCATTTTAGCGAATGATAACTTCAGTAGACCAAATCACAACTTGGCTGAGGGTATACCAAATGACAAGTTGACTATGGAAAATAACAAGTTCACTTTAGCGAATGACAACTTCAGTAGATCAAATCACAACTAAGCTAAGGGGCATTTCAGACATTTCATCAAAATTTCATATTTGTAATATGGGACTGAGTTCGTCATGGTAATTTTGCTTATTGAGGTAACCTCTTTGTAATTTTGGTAATTCAATAGTCTTTCTTTGTCATTTTCCCTAGAATTAATTAAAGAATCTTTTGAATTAAAATAAAGATCTATATTATTTTTATAGTTAGAAATGAATTTAGAACTAGGGATGATGGACTATTTTCTTTTTTTCCAGCAAGACGAATGATTATTCTTTATGTATATTATGTTTGTTAGTTCAACCTTTGTGTTAATTATTTATAATTAAACCAGATCATCCACATTATAATTATTTACTGAACTTAGTGCCTATTTAGTTGTTTATGTCTGTCTTCCATTTAGTTTATTTATTCAATAGACTCTATTACACTGTAATAGATGTTTAGATATGATGATGTTGATTTTTGTGACTTAACTTTTTTATATTTATACTTATACTTTTTATTAGTAATTTATTATTTCATTTTTATTATTTTGATAAAATATGCAAAAAAATTTAAAAATATTGCATTTTCGTTAAACAGCCAAAAGCTTGCGGGTCGGCGATAAGCCCGTCATCTCATAGGCCGGGTTTGGAAAAATTGTTTATTTTTAGGACTCAGGCTTAAACAAGCAGCCCATTTAGGCCCAAGTCCATGACTAACCGGCCTGTTTCCTCAGTGCTAGTCACACCTTTATCTGATATGTATATGGATTTTAAGCTGGCATAAAGTGGGCAATGTTGTGCCTACTAAGGGTTCTTTTTAGAATGACATTTAGAATTACTTATAAGCATATTATATATAAGTTGAGATAAAAAATTTTCTCATATATTTACTTTGTATTCTATAAATTATAATTAAAAAATTATTTATAAACCATTCTAAATAAACCTTATATGATTCTTCACATGCTTGCAGACTCCTTCTTCCGTCTTGTCTTTCTTTTCTTTAGTTGTTTGCGCTTCGTGTGCTATCAATTCTTCTTTTTTTGTTTGTTGACAATTTGAAAATGATTTTAAGTTAAACTTAAACAAATGGTCAACGTCTCAGCCTCTCAAAAAGACTCATACTCTCTTCGATATTTAATACAAAAGCCATTTAAATAATCTGAGTAAATTAAAAAAATTAAATTTACGTATCATATGAATGTATTTGATAAACATGACATTATCTCTTTAAAATTATCATGTATAATATTAGATTACATATCAGTTTATAAGCTTGATGAATTAGTTTAAAAGAAATAAAAAACGTGAGAGATGAAATAAATTAAGGACTACATCCTATTCTTAACTAACTCCATATTAAGCAGTGAAAGAAGCGTTTGATAAAAAGTTTAGATGGCTTGAGAAAATGTAGTTCATACACTATTGTTAATTTTCATTTTCATTAATTATTAGTTAGAGGTTGGCTCCTAACGCCTCACTTGTAGTTCTTTCTTCTTAGTTTTCAACCCCATTAATTATTACTTCACAAAGCAGTTAAGCAACATTTTATATTTAATTGAACTTGGAGGACATAACTATAAATTAAAAAAAAAATCATGCTGAAGAAAAAAAAGACAATAAAACAAAATCACCCCTAATGGAATGTTTTTGGGTCTCTAATTTAACTAGATTGTCTTTTAATCAGTACTACCCCCGGTCCTAATTATAAGAGCCAATTAACTAATTTGAGGAGATTAAAGAAGTAAGTTGAGTTAGTTATTTGTCCTAAATAGGTGTTGTCTTTCCTAAAATATCCTTGCTAATCAAGTGTACTGACTAGAACTATTATTGTTAGAAGGGCTATTTTGAAAAAAAATTTATAAATATGAGAGATAAAGTGGATTAAAATCTTATATTTAGGACTAAAATAAAAATCAAATAGAGTTTTATATTAAGGATTGTAGGTAGTATTACTGTTTGTGCTGATTGTTATTGCGGACTGTGGAGGCCCAAATCTTTCTCTTTTTGGGTGCAAGAAGGCCCAAATTATTCCGTTTTAGCTTGGGGCGGTCCAGCCCATATTAGGGTCCGATGACACGCAAAGCGGAACTTTAAAGGCATACATGTTAAAACCCTAGGTTTTAATTCTCGCAGCTCAGGCGCGCGTTCGAAGTAGTCGACACTCTTACAGCGACTTTGTTGCGGCTGGAGCAAGGGGAGCAACATGAAGGTTCACATTCATCCCAAACCTTTATCTTCAGCGATTTGATCTCCTGGTTTGTTTGTACTTTTATATTCTGTTTGTGTTTGTATCTGAATCTCCTGCGATTCTGCAGTTCAACATTGCAAATCCCACCACTGGATGCCAGAAGAAGCTGGAGATTGATGACGATCAGAAGCTGTAAGATTTTTGCTTCTCTAATATATATGTTTCGATTTTCATCTAAGTTTTCATTGCGCGTGTACAGGAATAGTTGGTTCGTTAGTTGAACAGTCCAACATTTCCTTGACAATTCATATTTAGGAGAAGTAATCTAAGTCTGGTTCTTTATATATTATTCCAACGATTCATCATTGGCCATACCGTTTGGTCTTCCTTAGTGGCCTTTAGGTTCCTCAAAAAACATGAATATCATCGAGAACTCTAATTACGTGTCCTGTGATTTGCGTGACAAGTGTCATGATAGTTCTCGTTAAGGATTTTGTTTTGGTCCAATGTTTAATTCACTTTAGTTGTTGTGAATCATATATATATTTTTTGGTGTTGATATGTGATTGAGCTGTTTGACAAATCATTTTATGCAGACGAGCTTTTTGGGACAAGCGCATCTCACAGGAGGTTAGCGGTGATGCTCTGGGTGAGGTATGCTTGTGGCCATCCCTTTTTTTTTTCCCCCCCCAATTTCAAATTCGAATTTGCGGGAAAGTAAAAACTTGTGTGTGTGTGTATATATCCATTTGATTATTTATACCTCTCGGTCTACAGGAATTCAAAGGCTATGTCTTCAAGATCACTGGTGGTTGTGACAAACAAGGGTTTCCAATGAAGCAAGGAGTGCTGACCCCTGGTCGTGTTCGTCTCTTGCTCCACAGAGGTTAGATTTGTTTCAGTGCTAGATTCCTATTAATGTGCGGTAGATTTAGGTATTGGCTGTCATTAGTATACATTTTATTTAATTGGCCTGAAAGTTTTCTGAGTGTTTTCATTTATTTTCCTGCCATTGCCGTCAGAATTAAAATGAAATTTTTAGTGCCATACTGTATTATCTTTTCATTACATTTTGGCTTTGCTTTACTTTCTTTTTTGTTTTGGGACCCATTGTTCCCAGTGGAGCTGGTTTCCTCATTCAGAGCTTTTGTTCATTTTACTATTGTTGTGCTAATTTTTTTTTTTGGGGATTGGGATCTGAGCAGGAACTCCTTGCTTCAGAGGATATGGAAGGCGCAATGGAGAACGCAGGAGAAAATCTGTGCGGGGGTGCATTGTGAGCCCAGATCTCTCTGTTCTGAACTTGGTAATTGTGAAGAAGGGTGAAAATGATTTGCCTGGACTCACTGATATTGAGAAGCCAAGGATGAGAGGTCCCAAGAGAGCTTCCAAAATCCGCAAGCTGTTTAACCTCTCCAAGGAGGATGATGTGAGGAAGTATGTCAACACCTATCGTCGTACCTTTACAACAAAATCTGGTAAAGTCTTGGATGCCTCCTACTTCTTTGTTTACTTTTGTCAATGTCAATAAAATAAAAGGAGGATAGGTGGTCAAATGTATTTGAGGATGGTATCTCACATTGCTTTCAATATCATAGCTAGTTCTAATTCTGGTATTTTCTATAGAGATTAGTTAACTTCCATCTTTATAGATGGAGACAATTTAAGAGGTGGTGAAGTCAAACTCACGGTGAATAATATTCTGAGCATTGGACTCTTGCTCTCGAATTTTCAATTCAAATTTTTGACGGTGACTCTGCTTCCAGATCTTGTCGCAAATTTATAGTTGCAGCCTTGCAGGTTGCATTGACTGTTGATAATCATGCTGGGTTTGCGAAATTTTATTGTTTTGGATATTTTAATGGATAAACAGAGTATTCATTGTCTGACTTGCTCAAAAAAAAAAAAAAAAAGAGTATTCATTGTCTGACGTTGCTCCTTGATAGAACATGAGCTTCTGCTGTTAAGAAACACTCCTAGCGACTGAAATTTGATCACATGGCTTTTGTGGTGCAACGTTAAGTCAAACAATTACGTTACGGATCAGAAGATTCCATTTAGTTAAGACGACTGGGGGATGAGAGTAGTCTCTGGAAATAGATAACTGTTTTAGATCATTCAGATTCAGAATTGATCGTAATGGTGATGAATATGGTTTTGCTGATCAACATGTTTGATTGCAGGCAAAAAGGTGAGCAAGGCTCCTAAGATACAAAGACTAGTCACACCTTTGACCCTCCAAAGGAAGCGTGCAAGAATTGCGCAGAAGAAGAAGAGAATTGCCAAGGCCAAATCTGAAGCAGCTGAGTACCAGAAACTTCTTGCCTCGAGGTTGAAGGAGCAGAGGGAGCGCAGAAGTGAGAGTCTGGCTAAGAGGAGGTCCAAGCTTTCTAGTGCCAAGCAATCCGTCGCAGCATAGGCCTCTTTCTGAGAGAATGTGTTTGTTGAACGCTTAAAAGTGTTTTTTGATCTTATGTTTGAGGTTTTACTTTCAAATGAATTTTGTGACCATATGGCGTGGTAACATTAGTTTTATTTATTGAAATGCCACTAGTTAAGTGGAATATTGATGCCAAGGCCTGCAGGGACTTGCCAAGACTAAGAAGATAGTATCTCCGTTTGATGAATTGGCTTTCGTTCTATTTAGTAATGCTTGTTGTCCACGTTGTTGAGTCTTGCGCACGCTAGGATGCATGCACACTCCATGCAGTGTGTAATGTGGATGGTAATAGCAATACAAATATGCACTAAAATTGTATTTTTCCAGCAATAATTAAGATAAATTATAATATTGATAACTTGTTAATTCAGGATAGATTTTAATCAAACAAGTATGTGTTTGAAACAAAGGTCTACAACTTGTTACTGATTCAGAATAGGTTTTAATCAAATAAGCATGTGTTTGAAACAGGTCTCCAACTTGAGCTTGAAATAAGCAAGGCTGGTGTATGCATTTTTAATCATAAAGTTGTGAATTGTATGATCGGTCGAAACGCTTGCAGACTTTTATGAACATCTATCCCACTCGATCGAAATCAGTACTGTTGCATTAGAATGTGCCTGTGGACTTTTCCCGGAAATGCAGAAACATTGAACCGGTTTGTATCTTTCGATATCTTTGGCAAGTGAATTGATGCAGAGGAATGACTGAGGAAGTCACGCCCTAGATTTAACGCTTGGCTGCCTTTTCAATGCGCTCAATTATTTCATCTGTATCGATTTGATTTTTTTTTTTTACCAGCATCTGTATCGATTTGATGCAGATGAAGAATAAGAGCCGTTTGATCTTATTCCGAGATTTTGTAATAGGAGATGTAAAATTCACATTACATGAGATTATAGGCTCTGTTAGGCATCTCATTGGCAGTCATGTTGAGAAGCATGAACAGAGACGTATATTGCCACAATTTGGAGTTCACTTAAAACTAGCTGGGCTATCCTATCAAAAATGACAACTAATGCTACTACCTCTCGTGGTTAATATAAAATATTATTGATTAATTTGAGAAAATTAAAAAATTTAAATCAAGTACTTAATTATAGCATATGTTACATGATATTTCTAAAATATTTATATATATATTATTAGATTATATATTAGTGTATAAGTCGGTCAAATTAGTTTAGAAAAAATAAATAAATATACATATTTTATAGTAAGTTATTTTGTTTAATCTTTCCAAATTAGTTAGCTAAACTTTACACTAAGCACCAGATGTAGTATTTTGTTTATAGACTCTCAGATTTTAGGTGGAATGATCTAGTGAATGGTTCGACATGAGAGTCAATTCTTACAGGGAACTGGGGGATACGTCATCGCCTTCTTAAATAATTAGAGTAGGCCCTCCCACTGGGTTGAATGAACCCAACAAATCTGCCAAGTTAGTGATAATTAAGTCCTAGACACCTTCTATAATCCTAGTCAGTGTTCAAAGCCTCCAACCACCACCTAAGGTTACCTAATGTGCGACTTAATCCCGCTTGCAAACTTAGCTTACGCTTTAGGACACAAACTGATCAATACAAGCCTTATCACATGCTTGCTTAATCAAGGAACAAATTATGCATAATCATGACATCAGTCTATTCCAAGCTTCATTAAGGAGAGAGTAAAACTCAAACATCATGGAATTCCAGAATTATGCTCACAAACAGAATCAAATCAACAAGTTATTTGAAACTACTAATGTATTAAATCAAATACAACTTCCCTCAATCCACAAGATGCGGGTCTTGTTAATCCAGAAACAGCAAATGTAAATATAAAGAAAAGAATAGAAGACTGAAAGACTAGCTATTTCCTTGAAGAGCCAGAAGGTCAGGTACATCGATGTCCCATCCAAGAGTCGGAGACACTATAGCCGCTCATCGCAATTGGTACAGTTCCATCAGATGCTATTATGCCTTCGGATGCATGTTTTTTTTTGCTAAGCATTGGTATCTTGTTAATAGAGACAGTGCTGTTCAAGATACTATTAGGCGTTAAATATGAATACTCTCCGGTAGGGATTCGAACTTTAATTCGTCGCATTACAAAAAACTGGCCTAAACCCAATACCATTGATGCTTTCGAATATATGTTGAACACGAGCTTGGGAGAATGAGTGAAGAGAATCAGGTGGGCGGAGATTGAGATGGATTTGGGCGGGAGAGTGAAGGCAAATATAGGATGAAGTCGAATATGGGAAAAATGAGAAGTGAATGTAGCAGGTTGCGATTAGAAAAGATGAGGCGAATGCGAGAGTGAATGGTAATGGAGAGGAAATGATGGTGAATGGAAGAAATGTAGCTAATTGATTCAATCATAAATTTATAACTCATACTGAAATTAGATGTTTGAAACATTTGAAATCCTCCTCCAGACAAGCAAGAAGGATAAAAGAACTTGCAATTGGCAAAAGTGCAAACACCTTTACTTTAGTTTTATCTTTTAATTTTATAAAGTATTATTTTCATCATCTAGTCTAATATTATTAGTCGCAAATAATAATTTTTTTGGTTCCAATCACTATTATTTTTTATAATTATCATCAATCAACAATAATCACCATTTTTTCCTCTTTCATTCTATTCTAAGTAGGGCAAAACCCTCAAAAGACTTCAAAATTGACGATGGAATTAACAACAATCGTAAATAAATCACCTAATCCATAAAACTCACAAATTGCCTCAAAGCGACGTTAATATAGTAAGCTTTAATAATCACGCTGGAGCTTACAAAAATATAAAGTGCCACAAATTACAAGTTAAATTCCTCTCTGATCCCTTGCTTTGAAAAAAAAAAAAAAAAGACTGATCCCTTCCCTCAAAAAAAAAAAAGAAAAAGAACACTCTCCAGGCCTAAATTTTAATATTGAAGTAATCTGGGTCAAAGTGATGCAACCTTACATAACCATCTTCACCTCCACTTGAGAAGCTGCAATGAGAGAATGATCTTGAACTCAGCACACATTAAAAGATACAGTTCAACAGTAACTCAAAAATATTCTAAAACTCGAGTAATTATATACTCTAACACAGGGTAAGAAAGGAAAGGAGACTAGTAAACCAATAAATTAAATGGAGAGCAAATAGTATCCTATTTTCTCCACTGAAATCATGCAGCAAAAGGTTAGTAATCTCAGCCATTGAAAACCCACTTAATAGAGAGACTTCACAACAAAAATGATTATGATGAAACCAAAGGGTTGAGAAAGCAAGGGGCGTACCTCTTGCCATCAGGATTAAAGGCAAGTGCATTAATTGGTCCAAAATGTCCCTTCACACCCCCAATTTCTTCTTGGAGAATCTAAATTGACGACAAGAAATATGAGATACAAAAGCAGAACAGTCTGTCCATGGTACACCATAGAGAGAAATCTAAGCAGGACAAAAGGGACAGATAAATCAACCTTATCAAAAAACTTGGCTTCAAATTTTCCAGCACGATGATCAGTAGTAGTAACAGCTGATGCATCTTGACCACCTCCAAGCACCACCTAGAAAAAACAATGCATGAGCTTAAGAAAACCATAGACAAACTGAACAAATGCATCATTCATATAAAAACATTGAATAGGGAAAGTAAAGTAGCTGGATCATTTTCACCTAAGATTGTCAGGTCATTTAGAAGTCCATATACTTTTTTAGTGGGCGAAAAACAGCAATATAATACAAGAAAATGGAAATCTCCGGAGTATAAGCTTGTGCCATAGAAATTAAAAAAAAAAAAAAATTATATCCATCACCATCTCAACGCCATAGTATTGAAACCAAACTTTACTCCTTCAGTGAGAGATACCAGAAACAAAATTACACAAAACATGAAAGTATCATAAAAAGTATTCCTCCTGTTCTTAATATAAAACCCACTTTATAGTGCAAATTGCATTACAAAATAGGTCTTTTATTAAGGACCAGAAGAGTACAAAATTTAAAATAACAAACATGCATACCTGGTCAAGAAGAGGCGACATGGCCACCGCATTGACTGGGCGTTCTGTTACATATGTCTTGATAAGAGACAGCGATCTGGCATCCCAAAGCTATGACATTGCCAACAGAGGATAAAAGAACAATTAATTTAACAGATATTATCCCAAGTTCTTCATAAAAATCAATTAAAAAATTACCACTAACAGAAGCACATAAGGAATGGATATTTTAATACCTTAGCCGATTTATCAAGGGAGCCAGTCAGGAAATGTGAGCCATCTGCGGATTTTGCAAGAGATGTTATTGTCTTTTTGTGGCCAGATTCCTTGTCTGCCTCCTTAAGTAGCTTTCCTGTCTGCCAAATCATGAAAGAATCAGAGTGGATGAACGGAAACACTGCAAGAACTTTGTGGGCAGGTATTCTCATAGAACAAAGAAGGAAAATAACATCAAACTACAAGCTTCTACAGTATTCAATCTGGTGTTGACAATACTATCTCTGATTTCAAGATAGCAATATCACCATATGACCATATAAATATCAAGGTCACTAACCTCAGAATCCCATATGCGGATCACTGCATCTTCTCCAGCACTAATAATGGTTTTGTTTAGTGGCCCCCAAATGGCTCTATTTATTCTTCCCTGAGGGCCTTTAATGATCAGTATAGACTCGCCAGTCTCTGGAAAGTAGGGCATGAATTATTTTTAGCGGTACTGTGATATTTAGCTGTAATACAAAGTTCACAATACATTGAATGTGCATAATGGAAGCACCAGACTAAGAAGAGCATATTTTCAAATGTTTGCCAGATGCAACAGAAGAGCAGGGCAAGAAGCACAATAAAATCGACCTCCCAATACTTAAAATAGCCACGAATAGTCTTCAGGCAATTGCTCTGGATAGGCTGCCATGTGAAGAATTCATTTACCTATAATAATAGCCTAATAAGGAAACATCATGACTGCATTAAAAAATACCGATACTAAAACATCATGCTCAAACAGGGACGGAATCTTCCACACAAATATCAACCATACGTGTCCAGCAACCTGAATAAAATCATTTGCTTCTTTACATATAATTGAAAGAACCATACTGGGAGATTTGGCCCCTGATAGGTAAACCCTCAAAAGTAAGGCTTTTGTCACACAATAAATACACCCCTAAACTATAGATACGTGGAAACAACAATGAAAAGAAGTCAAACCACAAAACCAAGGAACATAAAGATTGAGCTTACGGTCACTGGCGTCTCTAGCGATGCGTTTGACATGAATTGCAGAAGACAATTCCATGAAGGGATCAGTTGTAATAACAGCAAGTTTGTCGCCCACAGCAAAATCCACAGACCTAGCAGGAGAATCAAAATTGAATGTGAACAACTGCTGTCCAGTTTGAACACTCCATAGCTTTGCTGTCTGATCCGCACTTCCAGTTATAAGACGCATTGAATCTCCTGCATAGTGACAGATATTGTTAATAAAATCCACTATTAACTATAAAAAGATTTTGTCAATAGCAACCTAAAAATATCAGAGAAAAAGCGGTAAATAAAGGAACTTACTTGAGACATCACAGCACCAAACAGCGCCATTGTGTCCACGATAAGTGCCCAAGCGTTCACCATTGTCAGCAAACCAGACGGTGGGATTGTGATCCTTAGCACAAGAGAAAAGAAGATCTCCATCTCTGTTGTACTTGAGAAACGTCAGCGGCCTCTCGTGGCCTTTCATCAAAATCGGCCTCATGGTTCTGCAAGTTTAGATTTAAGCTCAAACAAGCTAAAGCAACATATGTGCAAAGACATTAATATGGAGATGCAATTGGAACTCGCGTATTCATGGGAATAGGGCTTTTGTGAATAAAGAAAAGAGACCAGTGCCATTTTTATTAGAACTTATCTGAAAAAAAGTAGAAGAGTGAAAGAGCAAGCAAACCCAAAAGCTAAAACTCAGTCATTGTATCAATTTCAACTTTGTTACACCAATCTAAAACTATTTACCCCAAAATCCGAACATAATAACGAAAGCCTATGAAACAGTTGCCACTACAACAATAAAGAACTGAAAATCCTTGAAAACCAGGAGAAAAACAAAAGAAAAGAAACGCAAGTTCCAAAGCCAATGACCCCACTGATTACCCTGTTCCTGATTCATCAAGGAAGCACTCAGAAATCGGTTCTGGCATTACCACACCAATAATCATGAAGGAAACAAGACACTTGAGAGAAGATAATTTTATCTTTTTGCGCGAACTAAAAAGATGGAGTTTTTAATCTGAAAGAGAGAGAGAAGAGATACAAACATAAAAGAAACACAGAAAACTGAAAAAATATGTGAACAATTATAGAAAACTCCAATCAAGACACAAAGATGTCAAGATATAAGTTCTTCATTTTAGCCACCAAGCGGAATATATAATAGCTTGCAGATCACAACACCCATTCCAGAAAAGAGGGAGTTGCCAAATGGGGCTGTGTGCTAAAAGAGAAGGAATACATGTTGACTCCAGTTGTAAAACCAAAAGGTCGTAGAAATAAATGAAAATTATTAATCTCCTAATAACTCAATTACAAAAGCTCCAAGTTCAAATAAAGCAAACACGCAGGACGACACAAACAAGCAAGAGCGTATTGAGAAATTTTAGATTGCAGCAACAACAAACAAAAGCACAGTAATTCTCCATGGGTACTGAAAGTGATAGCGGAACAATTTGGTGAACAACAGAGAGCATGAAAATGAAAACGAAATCTTTCTGAAACCTGGATTTGGGAGTGAATTAAAAAGAAGGAGGATGGGATCGATATTACCTGGAGAAATATTTCTATTGAACACACCGAGAGAAACTTCAGTGGAGACTGGAGAGGAAGAGACCAAAAGGCTGACGGAGAGTGGAGGCTACGTGAAGAGGTGCAGCGGCCGTATTGAAGGAAGAGGAGTAGACAAAGGAGTAGGGCACAAACGCAAGTGTCGACGGTGAAACTTTGCCTGTTTGGATTAGGATTGACTCGTGCCAAATAACTCCGTCCGAACTCACTTTTCCTGTTTTCCAACTTCTGTCAAATTACCAAAAAAAATCACTTTCCCAGCTCACTTTTGTAAAGTAAGGGGCAGTTTGGGAATCTCACAAGCACTTAAAATAATATATTTTCATGTAAGTTGACAAGAAAATTTCTCTCATCCGGGAACTCTATAAAATCACTTTCAAAATTCAAACACCTCCTAAAACTAGTCCAATATACATGTGTAATAAATGTGAGCATATTTCTTAACAGGAATTTAAACTTGATTCATCTTTTGATCATCCACAAATAAGATCTTCATATTAGAAGTAGGATTTGAACTCATGACCTTGTAGATTATTAACTGACTTATTGCCAACTTAATCAACTCTTATTAGCAATCACCTTCATAGTTTTATTTTTGATATAGCAAAATTTAGGTGAGTTGAGTCTCGGGAACTTACTAGAGCCAAGGCAAGTTTCCAGGCTTAGAAAGTGCTTATAGTAGTACTCATAGATCACCCACCAATAAGCTCTTCATATTGATAGCAGAATTCAATCTTATGACCTCAATAAGTTATGAGCTGACTCTTTATCAATTGCATTAATTCTTGTTGGTAATCACTTTCATAGTTTTTTTTGCCTCCTTGAGATTAAAAGGCAAGCCGGAGCTTGAGGGTTACAAAAGGTAGTTACCTAACTCAGCACAAAAACGTCACAGTTTACTGGGTTACTTGACCCTGCCCCGAATCAAAATACCTCACACAACAATTTGGGATATCCTGTAGGAATCACTGTCATAGTTAACAGGTCAAATGTAAAACTGAGCTGTAAGCGGCCCATCAACACATACATGGGAGGGAAAATGGGCCAGCACTGTAGAAAACTTATTTTGTAATTTTTTTTTTGATATAAAAAAGTTTAGGTGAGTTGGGTCTGGAGGCTTACCAGGGCCAGGACATGCCTCTAGGCTCAGAAAGCTCTTACAAAGGTACTTACAATTACAGATTATCCACCAACAAGTTCTTCACATCAGTAGAAGGATTTGAATTCACGACTTCGTAGGTTATGAATCGACTCCTTACTAATTAAACCAATTCTTGTTGGTAACTTATTTTGTAATTGCCTAAAGGATGGCTAACGACCGGAATGGCATCAGAAAGAGCCCACCAATGCAATAGAGTAAAATAAGAAGCCCACAACCAAAAAAAAAAAAACCCACACAGCTCGTACATTTACGTCCAGAAAACCAATAACACTGGGCACTATTTAAGAAATCCTATGGACCAGCCCAATCAATTGCAACTTGTATAAAAGCATGCCCAGGCTTGATGTAAAGGGGTTGAATTTCTAAATATAAAAAACGAGATAATGAATTAAATTTTATTTTAGATATAGGATTTAAATTTATTTTGTCTCATAAATTTATAATTTTTTTTCAAAGTGTTCATATTAATTGAACAGAATAAGAAAGTTTTCCATTAATGGCAATTTCAATGCACATGCATATTTATCATAAACAAATAATTTCATTAATATCTGCAAATTAATTATCTAATTTTTATATTGAAGTTCACTAAAAAAGAATGACAATGAAATAAATAAAACAAGGTTGACATGCAATTTCATCCTCCACCACAAACTTGAGCTTCTTCTTGTGGAACTAATTTTGCCACCATTGTTTTTCAACTCCATAGATTCAAGGAGCTATCTAAGGTCTAAACATAGTAGATAGCGTTTGAAAAACATCACCAATAATTTTTTAAAAAAAATATTGGGTTTTTTTTTGTCCTAAAAACAATGTTATAAAATTTTTTTTAAAATGAGTCTTGAGAATGGAAAATGAAAAAATATGTTTAGATAATTATTTTAGGAATAATTAATCCACAGCTCCTTGTAGTTTCAACTAATTTTGAATCAGGTCCTTATAGTTTTTTTTCTTTTTATCAGGTCCTTATACTTTTACCTGTTTTTAATTAGGTCCTTATATTTATTTTTCTTTTTATCAAGTCCTTATAAGTTCACCTTATTTTTAATTAAGTCCCTGAATTTTTTTATTCTTTATTTTATAAATTCTAATAGTACTATTATATAAACATAAAATAGTATATATTATTTAATATTAGTTTATAAAAAATAATATTTTAAAGATATTGAATTATTATAATGATTTTAATTTTTTCAGCAAAAAAATTAATTGTTCTAAAAAATTTTCCTGAATTAATTAATTCTATTACTTTTTTATTACATAATTATTAATTTAATTTAATTATTAATATTTTATATTTCAGTATTAATCTATTTAATTAAGATTATATTTAATTAATAAATAAAAATTAAAACTACATGGACCTGATTAAAAATTTAGTGAAATTATAAGAACTTAATTAAAAGAAAAATAAATACAAGGACCTAATTAAAAAAAGGTAAAAGTATAAGGACCTAATAAAAAAAAACTATATAGACCTAATTCAAAATTCGTTGAAACTATAAAGACTTGCGGATTAATTAACCCATTATTTTAAAAAAAAATTGCAGTGGCTGTCACCAACAATAATACGTGAGGGGCAATGGGTAAGAAGAAAGAAGGTTTTTTCAATTTTTAAAAACAATATTTATATCAAGTTTCTTATATCTATCATGTCAAGTTTTCTAATTACGAGTGACTATGTGTTGCATTTTTAAAATATTAGTATTTAATTATAAATTTAGATGAAATAAAAAAGGACGTATGCCTGTATATGATTGAAGAATTTGATATAACACATATGAGAAAAACTTAACCTAATTTTTTTCTTTTTAAAAACATTTTTTTTTTGTTTTTTAAACAACCAATTGAAAATAAATTGCGAAACAAGGGTTCGTTTTTCTTTTTTTTTGTTTTTAAGAGCAAAATTGTCTTTAAAACAAGAATCCAAACAAGGCCATAAGCACTACCACTCCAATTTTTCCTAGTAGTGTCGTCATTCTTCTGTTTTTTTTTTTTTGTGGTTTTATCAAAGTGTTACTGTATTATTACTTCTGAAATAAAACAGACACGGAAGCTGAAAGGACGAGTTCGAAAACCACAAAAACGACGCTGGAGCAGGTAGATTAATCACTATCCTCTTGCTTTCTTCTGTTGAAACCCAAAAAATAAGAACAAAACAAAGTTAGTACTCTACCGATTCTAAATGTAAGACCCTTATACAAGTGTGTGTGTATATAGAAGTCTTACATTTAGGATGGGAGGAGTATTTTGTTCTTCATATGTGACGGCCAATTCCAATTTCGGAAAAATGGATTTCTAGTACGTTCTTCACCTCCCAAGTTATATGAAAGTGATTCTACTCGAAGGCCTTGGGGAAAAAAACAGTTATAGTTATTAATCAATCCAAAGTGAGAAGCAATGACCGTGGTGGCTCCACTTTTTGGGAAACAAAACCTGTAGGAGATTTAAATCATACTCTTATATATTTATTTATATGATAGAGAGAAAATAAATTTTTTTAGTCTTATTTATAAGGGAGAAAAAGAAAATTTCATATAAATTTATAATTTTATCCTTCATTTATTATTGTGTTAATATTGTGTTAATTTTATTTTTATTAATATAATGTATATTATCTAGAAATAAAGTCAGAAAATTATTGAATTTTAATGCAGAATTAATATAGCTTTAAGATTGTTCTTGATCTGTGTAAAACATATTGAAAATAAACTTTAATGTTGTATATATCTTCAAATTGAAAAATTTATATGAGAACATTAAGTTGCCAGAGTGCATTTGGATTATATTTCAGAATTATTTTCAGTAAAAACTATCAAAAACTACCAATTCCTCTTTCTCACAAAAAATTGTCGCGATTTTTGTGCTAAATGCGGAAAGTTATTTAATCATTTCATACTTTTCTGAAAACGATTTGCAATTAATTGATTCAATCAGAAATTTATAGTAATTCATGCAGGAAAAAGTAGATATAACAACCCTTTAGTTGGAAGCTTATAATTTATTGGCTCCATTGAATTTTGGGACCTCCGATGTCCAAATGTCGTACACAATAAATAAGAACTGTACGTGCCGGGTCAAATCTGGGGATGAAATTGTGGTTATAATCTTAGTATCACTTTTCATCGTCCTAGTACAATGAATATGATACTAGGATGCAATGACATTGGGCAAATGCCCGAAAAATCTCCTATTATAAAATTTATTACACGAGTATATCTAAAATTTGTCGAATTATTCAGGTATCACTTAGCTTTTGACGGGCATGTAACACGTTTTTCAAATTATTTGTAACGTACTCCTTTAGTCTTATTTATAGAGTAAAAAAATAAGATTTTTATTTTACTTATATTTCTATTTATAGGGCACGGAAAATTTTTTTTTCCGTATAGATATACAATTTTATCTTTTATTTATTATTGTGTTGATTTTATTTACATTAGGTATAATGTATATTAAACAGGGATAAAGTTAAAAAATTGTTGAATTTTAAGTGAGAGTTAATGAAGTTTAAGATTTTTCCTAATCTGTATAAAACTTATTAGAAATGATTTAAAAATGAGACTAGAGGAGTATATCTTCATCTTCAGTCTTCCATAAACAGAAGACATTCACTTATAATTAAAGGCAAGATGTACATAATAAAAGAATAATCACACCCGCTCAGTGATCTAGGTCTTTGAATATTGTTGGATAACAAAATTTGCGATGAGGATTTTTTTCCCCCAACAATTATATTCTCCCAGAAATATGTGGTTCTTTTGTTTATTTGCCACAAAATTATGTGGTTCTGAAAGTTCAGAACTTTTTTTTTTGGTTACAAAGAACGTTTTATTTTGTTGGGCGGCATGATTTTAGGATGATGTTGATATGACTGAATTCAGTTGGATTGGCTGACGTTTG